GCATCGTTGACGTTCAGTGTGGGAGAAGAGAGAAAATCAATTATTTCCAATAATTACAAGCATTAATCAAGGATTTACGTGGCCAAGTGCATCTCAATATCTTCCTTGTTTGGAACTTCTAATTTAAAATTGATTTGTCAATTTTCTGTAAAATCAGTTAAACAGTTCATTTCCATACACTTTACTTTTAAGGTGTTTGCTTGTAGTGTCGAATTATCAAATACACAAATCTCGGAAATCAGTGTCCAATTTCACCTGAAATCGCTACTTCATGTATGCTGCAGTGCAGCAAACGTGGAGTAACAATTTGAATGTTGCACCATTTCGTTTTTTTTTCCTTTATTTAACGTTGGTCTCTGTTCCGCAATCTAGTGCCTAGTGACGGACATCGATTGCCATCCATTGACGACAATCGAATGTGCAGGAAGGCAGCTTCCACCCTTGCGTAGGATATCGCACCCATTCACAACACACATGGGGCTCTTCCGAAGGAAGACGTGACCAGAGATTTTTATGCCTCCGAAAAATTCCACCGACCTCGGCTGGGATTGAACCCAGACCCATTGGGGTGTTAGAAAGCAGTCACGCTTACCACTACACCACCGGCGCCGGCTGCACCATTTCGTAGGAGCTTATATTTGTGCACTTAATGTTTGGAAGTGGTTCCGAGAGTAAGGATGTCAAAGAAAGTCACCTTAACCTTACTACCAAGAGAGTAAGCAACTTTAACTCTCACACTATTCTCTCTTTCGCGGAGTAATCTCGCAACATGCCATTTATTTTGATGACGCACGATTTGTGATTTCCCTCTCACGCACAGACTTCAGAACAGAGTGCCTGGCACTGGAAAAGTTAATGGTGCCCTTATGTATGCACTTAAATTAACATCCTAAGTTTTTCCTTTTACAAACGATACAAATATGCTTTCCTGTTAGCAAGGCTGGTAGCGATCAATGCTGTCAAAAATAGTGATTTCAGTGACGATGTTGAAGAAATAAGTATGTATGTATGTATGTAAGGTAGCCACCATCCCTTCAAAGAGCGAAGGCGAACCAGCCCAAGGCTGAAAGCCTCCCTAATAAAGATAAATTAATTAATTAATCCCTTCAAAGATCTTGTCTTGTATGCAGCTCCACTTAATAGCAAGATCAATTTGAGCTATCGATCTGAATTCACAATATCGCTGTATGAAGGGCCAAAAACGGATGGGTGGAAGAAATAAGTGACTAAATAGTGATTCAATTAGATTCTCATAAACACTTTAATATGTACGATAGGAACCTTTTAAGCGAAAGATTCAATAGAAAGTTAATGACTAACCCAAGTAACACAAATTCATAGAATTATGTTGAGTAAACTGATATACAACCAAAACAAGTCATACAAAGGTTATATAAACTGTTATTGAACATGTGCGTTGCTTGGGAAGCCTTCAAGCTTCTACTACCTGGGAAAACCTGAAAAACCGGAGATTCGCAGGGAATTAAATTTTTCTGAAAATACCTAATAATTTAATAATTTTCTTACTAAGATGCAATTTTCAGTAACAAATACATTTCTTAAAATTCAGAGGCTTCAATTGATTTGTTTTTTGTTCTAGAATATGCATATTTCCCACAATTTTTTATAAATTCTGAATTGAAAAGTTATAACACATCAAGAAATTTTCAAGAATCTGGAATCAAATACCTTGCACTGTTTTAAGGCTCATGGAATTTTATTATAATTTCTAAGCACCTCATTCCACGGGAGTTTTAGCTCCAGGGGGGGGTGGTGTGGCGATCATCGTCAGAAAAGGGATAAAATACCACAGTCTGTCCCATATCCGCACCTCTATCATCGAGGCCCTTGGTGTGGAGGTGGAGTCGGCGACTGGATACGTCCAGTTCATCGCCGTCTACTGCCCTCGACAGTGTGCCGCCAGCAGCGGACTAGCGGCTTAATTCAAGAAGGACCTGCCCACCATCACCCGTAACGGTTCCCGCTTCGTTGTTTGAGGAGATCTGAATGCTCGCCATGAGGCCTGGCGGAACTACCAGCAGAACCAGAACGGTCGTCTGCTGTTCGACCATTCGCAGCATGGGCTGTACTCCGTTTGGTTCTCGGACGAGCCAACATTCATCTCACCGGCAGGCAACCCATCGACGCTAGACCAGTTTCTTTCAAATACCGGCTTGAACTCAGCTCCGACCATCAACCGGTGGTGGCTGAACTGGGATACAACGTAGCTCCTGCTAAAAGCCTGCGCAAGGACTACCATCGCGTAAACTGGGCCCAGTTTGGACGCGTGGTAGACAGGCACATCATCGACAACCCGCCGCTTGACTCGGTGGAGGACATCGACCGAGCGTTGGGGAACTTCACCAAGCCATAACCGTGGCTGACGAGGCGTGCGTCCGACGAGTTCCTATGAGGGGTAAGTTTATTGCCATTGATTCCCACACCCAACTATTGATTCACCTGAGAAATGTTCGTAGACGCCAGTTCCAAAGAACCGGAGATCTAGCGTGGAAACGTGAAATGGCCGATCTGAACAAGGAGATTGCTTCCAGAATGGTCTCACTCCGGAACGAAAGTTTCGGGCGGCTCATCCAGAATCTGGACGACCGCTCTAGATCATTCTGGAAGGTTGTCAAGGTCCTAAAGACGCACCCCAAACCCATTCCTCCACTCAAAGATGAAAATGATGACGATCGGCTCATAATCACCCCTCAGGAGAAAGCAAATGCGATTGGTGAGCATATTGCCAAATCGCACTTGCTTGGCTTCAACATCCCAAGTCCGCTCGAAGTTCAGGTTGAGCAATGCGTACTCAACCTTGATTCCTCCCCTTGTGTCATCCCTCCGGAGGATAGAATCACAGTTGAACAGATTTGCTCAGCGCTGAAATGCACCAAAAACATGAAGGCCCCCGGGTTTGACGGAATATTCAACCTAGTGTTGAAAAATCTCAGCATGAAGGTTCACTCTCTGCTGGCTGCTGTCTTCAACAGATGCTTTGTACTGCACTATTTATACCACTCAATCTAATAATCTTTTTTCAGGCAACTTCGAACACAATATTGATATTACTGATTTAGTAATAGTCAAAGAACACTATGAACCAGCGACATAGAGCATTAAATGTATTTTTTGGACAATTTACACTCCTTAAATACAGATTTAAAACTTAATAAAGAAAAGTACAACTATGCTGATAAGCAGTGTTGCCAAAGTTGATGATTGTCATTTTAGTGGAGATTTAGTTTCAAAGTAGCTGAAAAGCAATGAATTGAATTGCATAAATTTTACCGAACAGTTCAGCTGTTCAGATTTCGGTAAAAATGACCGAAGTCGGCGATAATTTCTAAGTGTGTGTTTTTCGGAGTGTTAACGAGTCAAATATTTGTCGTGTGGGCAAACAGTTAAAGCTGACATACAAATGTATGATAAACATGTTTGCTGAAAACAGCCACATAAATTATTCTTGAGTAGCAAACAACATCAAATAATCGTTGCTTTCTGTTATCGTACTTGAATTGACCGGGTCGATTGGAGTGATGTTGGAGATCAGTGAAAACGGACTTTACCATTTGAACTTTCAAGTAAAGGAAATCAATAAGCAGCTTATGACTTGAGTAATCGCTGGTCTTTCCTTAGTGTTCTTCGTGCAATTATGCCGGCATCTGGCTTTTTTTTTCGCTGCTTGACCAGCTACCGTTAAAATGGAAGGCTTGTCCGAGATGAGTGAGCTGCGGTAGGCGGTAGGTTTTAATTGACTTTTCATTGTTGATTTTTAGTAAACCTTAAAGCAAATTGAGCTGTTATGCATCAATCAACACGTAGCCTGAGGCAAGCGAATTGATGCTTCACCGGAAATCCAGCCGCTCATAAAACTCTGTCCTAATTACCCCCATCACGTGATTGTAGCCGACACGTGTTGAATATTTAATGTAATGATGAAGAGATTTTTATTTCCTAACGTGACAACATGAAAATCACTTGATTACAGATACCAGACCATTCAACCAGACAGGGATTAAAGTGAAACCACCACCGTCAATGAATGCCATCATTAGCATGCCAATGTAATAATCAAAACATGAAACAATTTGCAGCACTCTCAACTGCACTGATAAAACCGCAACAAATGCTTAACCTGCATTGAATATCAAGTTAATTTGCATTTACATAGGAAAAAAATATCAATACCTACTCACACAGAATAAAAAAAACTGCATCCACAACCAATGCGCATGAAATTGATTACAACTGGTGGTTTTTCGCGTGCTCGTTCAATTACGTTCAGTTATCAACAACGAGCGACTGACTGCCCTCCGCTCGGGCTGCCGCCGTCTGCGGGTCCGATGATTTGTAGACTCCATAAAATGGCCTAATCCCCCACATCACTTCATCAAGGGGACTATTAATCTCCGGGAAAAATAGAAATTATGGCCCCGGGTAATAAACAATAATCCCACACTCAATTTGATCCCTCCGCCATTAGAACGTAGAACGCATTTTATTCTTTTAATACCCTCGGCAATTTACACTCCACAACGGCGAAGACGCCGACGATGAGTTGCTTCCCCCCCATTAGCTACTCGGTGCGAGGGTTCACTTTTAATCTCTTTCCGTATCCCCTTGCGATGCGTGTGTTGTTGTCCGTGCGGGGGAGCTTTCTAAACTTGATGCCAAAGTTGGAACAAGGAAAGTCGACTTGGAAGGGTCTCTGTCCGTGTAAATTATGGCCGGGGCTTATTAGGTTCAGAGGTTGTTAGGGAATGATTTACGCATATTGGGTGAAGGTTTTTGCGAGAATGCTAACTTGAAACTTGTAACGAAGGACCTTAATATTTCACAGTCGTTGTGGTAAGTATTCCGAAGAATACCATTTTGGATGAAAAACCAATTGCAAACTATCGGACAACTTCGATTTGCCAGAATAATCTACCGGTCAACTTTCCGTGGTGACCCAATTCCTAATATTCCAAAAGCACCGGAAATAAATTCAAACTCACCGTCTCCTGATGTCCTTTCATCTCGGTGCTGCCCTTCCACCAGGTGATGGTAGGTTCCGGTCGGGAGCCATGAACTTCGCACACCAAGTCGTAGGTGTTGTTGGCTGACAGTGGCCGATTTTTGCCCTGCAGCTTCACCAGAAGGGGACGCACTGTAACGAAGGAAAAGAGAAATGACATGAGATGATGTTTTTCGTCCGGTCGAAAGCAGAAAAAAAAAACGCAAAATGATGCTGACTCATTTCGACAAATCCCATTGAGATTATCTAATGGAGTGGATTTTCGCCTAGACGATTCTCAAGTTGTTCAAACTCAGCATGACGACCGGGCTTCCCCGCTGTGTGGTGCGTCAGAGTTCATTACATGGCGAACGACGAGGGATCTTCCTTGAGCATCAATTCGCCGTCGCTGCCAGATCCTTCTTCTTCTTCTTCGGATGGTTGGTTTTGCCTAATCCACTAAAATGTGATAATTCAATTGCCAAGGCGTTGAGAAACGATGCCGAACGGAGAGAGCTCCCTGTTTGCAGTGTGTAACAGCATTTTGCCATTATAAGCCGGAATGGCACGGATTTGGGCGTAATTGAAAAGTTCCATCATTTACTTGGCCGGAACGGGAGGCATCAGGGTAATTTTTCCCAGAGACAAGCACTTTTCGACGGCCGACCGGCCAACACTCGGCAAAGGCCACAGAAATCCGATAGCGATAATGATATTGGAATAGCGATAGCGAAACTCATGCCTCCCCGATCCGGTTTTTGCGGATGTTTGTGGATCTTTCGAAAGATAATATTGATTGTACCGTGGTGGTGGTAGAAGGCGGGAGTAAACAACTTTGGGCACTTTGGAATTATAACCAACTGCGGTGCGGAGTTTACTTTCCGTTTCGTAAAAATAGATAGCAATTCGCAGCACCGCGCCCCGATCGTTCGGAACCGTTACGATTTGAGCAATGAAATTCAATTAGGAAACCAACAACTGGCCCCTTACCCATTGTCGTCGTTGGTGGTTGGTTTGCTTCGAATGAAAGTTGTTCAATTAAAATCTTGCATAACTTGGCGGTGAAGCGAACCGGAAAATCCAACACTGAAAACTGATGCTGCTATCTATGGGAGTTCCCTGTGGCAATAAAATTGAATTTTCGAGTTGAGATAAACAAACTTCGGACTTTGCTTCGAGGCTGAGAAAATATTTGTGCAATCTTACAGGAAGCATTCGCTATTGCTAGCGTGCAGCATTAACAACCCGGAAGTGATTTCAACAGTCATGCGATACTGCTAAAACGATACCTTAGTGGACCATCTACGGATAAATGATATTTTAACAGAAATTTGGAGCAATTTACCGGCAAATCCCTTATGGGGATGGGTATTTTTTGACGTAAGATTACGTCTTTCGGTGTTTGCAACGTCCAAAAATCAAACGCGTTACGAAAAATGGTCAGGCTTTGATCACTTATAACTCTGTCAAAAGCGATCGGACTTTAATTAAAAAGAAGCCAATCGATTAAAAAATATTCTACGAAGCTGTTAGAATAAACACTTTATCAATTTTCAAAAGGACACAAATTTTCAACTGTTGCAATGATGCTCAAATTTATTGTTAGTTTTATTGTTCTGTAACAATTATATACACGGTGAACATTATATTTCTCATTCAAATGATGTAATTGGACAAATGGCAGTTATACCGATGGTCCATGATAACATTGGGCATCCAGAAAAACTTCCGGTGCCCCCGGGGAAGTGGCCAATTCTCAACGAGAACCGTAACCCGGCACACTAGCCTCCCGGGGCCTGTTTCGGGGCCCCCGAGAAGGTGGCCAATTGTCGACAAGAAATAAAACACGTCGCGCGACAAATCAAACTTTATAGTTTTTCAAAACTCGGCGAGTAATGGCTAGAACAGTTCCATGTCAAATGACGAATCGGAAAAACACGACCTTCTAGGATTTGCATAAAATTTTGCATAATTGTGTGTTATTGGCAGTGCTGAGATTTGTCATTGTCATTGACAGACTTCCGCGTGATATTTCAAAATTGATCGTGACATAGTCACTGACAGACTTGATCCTCCAAAAAACCTTTGTCAAAATCTCATTCATTTTTTTCGTCAATGACAACTTTATTGAGGTTTTATAGCATTCTACGAGTCTCAATCATGGTCTACAGAACCCTCATAAAACCCAAAATATTACTTGGGAAAGGCTCACCTGGTATCAAAAAGTATAATTTCGTACATGCTGTATCACATTATTGTTATTCAAGAAATTCAGGACGTAGATGATGATGATGGTCCCACCTCTTACCCCTACAAAGGTTTGCGCTGGACGATTTATCTTTATGATAATTGAATATGACATTTTAACCAGGTTGGCAAACAAAATCGAACTGGTTTCAGTTACAGATATAAATTCCTTCTAGAGTTTACAGTTGCTTCACAGCGATATAAATGTGGAAAAGCTCAGGCGTCCACCTCTTAGTTCGCCTTTTTGTCCACCTAAAATATTCATAAGTATTACAAGCGATCAAGAGTTAATGAACAATCAACAAAACATCCTATTACACTAGTAACCCCGCAATCTGATGCTATCATAATTTTCAGCAATGTCAGGAATGCTCACGAACCCCCAAAATTTGCCAGAAAACTTACTACTAACTCAAGGTATCTTCCAAATAAGCTTCAACATTGCATTTTTTTTTTCAAATGTTAAATTCACTCCTCTATATCCGTAATACGCGCGCGAGGCTCAAAATTATTTTACTACTACTATTAAATCAAATATCAAAAATCCATCATCACCATCGTGGCGAACAAAATAGTTTTTGCAGTGCTACAATAATTATTAAAAAGTCGTTATAACAGCAATCCAAACAAAATAATCCGTTAAAAATAACTTCGTCAAGATACATAACTTTTCAGTTCATAAAAAAATCACTGAATAACAGTTCAAAAGACAGAACTTTTTAACGTGTGAAATGCAATGTCTCTTAAATTCTGCAGATGTTGTTGCACGTTAAATGTGTCTAGGCATCGAATTGAAAACATTTATTCCTTTAAAATATAATGAACTCTGTGAAGCACAAGCCAAGAAATGTGGTGTTCTTATTTCATCCGCGTTTCTAGTATTATATTTATGATAATCACTTCCTCTTTCAATTCGATAACACAAATATCGAGGCAGCAAACCGTTAACTACTTTAAAAATGAACACCATAGTCAAATATACAATTCTTTGCTTCACCGACAACCATTGTAAGGCGTCTAGCATCAAAGTTGAGGAAGTGAATCTATTACATCTCAAAATCAAACGCAGTATTTTACTCTGCAAGCACTGTAATCTCGAAGTCAAGATGAGGAGAGATGATTGATTTGTATAGCTGTATTTTACAGGCAATAGTTAAATCGTTTTTCAGTCGACATAGAATCCCATACTTCTTGGAAATTTTCTTGATGACATTGTCAATGTGAGAGTTGAACCTAAGTTTGTCATCAATAATCACGCCAATATATTTAATCTCCCGAACGTGATCAATAGTCCCATCATCAATTACAACAGAGACGTTCTCATTTACTCGATTCCGCGAAATTACCATAAATTTAGTTTTACTTGTGTTCAATTTCAACTGCTTCTACTTCAACCATCTACTTAGAGAACGCAAATCTTCATTCAAGTGTAAAACGGAATCATCTAAATCCTTAGCTGTGATATGAATAACACAGTATCATCTGCAAAAAGATCTTAAAACACGTTGCAAGTCATTAATATACATAATAAATAACAGGGTCCATAATACACTTCCCTGGGGCACTCCAAGGTTATTCCCCACGGGACTGGAAACAGCATCATTAAAAACAGTCGGTTGAGTTCTGTCAGACAAATAGCTTTCAAGCCATTTATATACAGTACTCGTAATTCCAAAGCGCTTGATTGTACTTAACAGTAAGAGCCTAGAAATTGTTTCAAAAGCGCGTTTCAGATCCAAAAAAACAGCAGCAATCGTATCTTTACACTCCAAGTTATGTTTCCACTTCGCTTATACCAAATTCAACGTGGTTTCACAAGAATGACCTTCCCGATATCCCGATTGTTCTGGTATCAACAAAGAGTTGCTATTCAAATACTCCAACAGCTGGCTTTTAACAACAAGTTCTAAGATTTTCTCTAATGTGTGCAACATGTTGATGGGACGAAACTCTTCGTTCCAGCAACTTTTTGAATAGGGACCACTAAGGATTCCTTCCAAATTTGTGGCACATGTCCAGTTTGTAATGATTCATTAATAAGGTCCAGCAAGATGTGGCCAATGACATGAAAGCAATCTTGAATAACTCTAGCATTAACATTATCTACTCCAGCCGATTTTCCTAATGTAAAACAAATAACTCTAAGTTCATCTAATGTAATTGGGTGAAAAACTTCAAATCTACAACAACTATTAACTGGCTGTTTTATTTCGTCAGGTTCATCGACCAATTCAATGGATTGATTAATCAATGAAACACTGTCTACAAAATAATCATTAAACTTGGCTGCAATTACTTGTTCTGACTGTTCTAATGTGCCATTAAAAGTTATGGACCGCAGTTTGCAATTACTAGGTTTTAATAAAGATTTCAAAATTTTCCATAACTCTTTGCTGTTGTTTTGATGCTGATCAATCTTCCTTTGAACATATTCACAACGAGTTTTCTTTATCGATTGTGAATACTTATTACGCGCGATTGTGTACTTAGTCCAATGATTGTCATTATTAGATCTACAAAACTTTTTGTACCATTTGTCCCTTTTCCGTTTAAGACGCAAAAGATCCAAATTGTACCAGCGGTTCGAGTTTTTCAAAGAAACAAACTTTTGCTCAACTAGTTGATTGGTACACGTTTTCAAAGCGTTATTAAGAACAGCTGTATATTCATCGAAGCTACCGACCGCGAATGGAAAATCCACGCTCCTCTCAATAAGATTCGAAACAGCGTGTTTCGAATATTTCCTCCAGCACTTCAATTTTACTAATTCATCGTTGTTATTGATATTATTTAATACATTAATCACTAAGGTCTCATGATCGGTTATTTTCAAATCAGTATCCGTAACTGAACAAATGGAATCAAAATTGGAATAAACGTGGTCAATTAAAGTTCTACTGTGCCTG